AAGATTGTTATAAATATGCAATAAATACATAGTCTGTGGAATTTGGTGTGAGAGTAGACCAGCCTCTACGTGGGAGCAATTGTAAGATTAAAATCTGTGAAGATTATTGTAAAGTCTTAGGGAATAGGAGAGAGAGGCGGGAGACTAAAATAGACACATTGTGATGGCCATGATCTCATCAGCCAGTTCTGAGAAGACAGCAGGAGGGAGGAGAGAGCCTATGCTTAGGGGAGTGCAAGCCCCCTTGATTGCAGGTAACCACATAAGTCACAGGACAGGTTGTACAACAGGCATATGCATCACTGGAAGGGGATGAGCTAGAGGTGTATATGTGATAGGAAGGGGAGGGAGTAGGGGTACACATGTGCCAAGATGGGCAGGCCCTAGATTCAAGATGGCAGCCTTACCTTAGGCAGCCTTGAGTTGGCTTGACCTTGGGTCTGTGCTCTCCTACTGGGAAACTGTCCACTCCCTTCATCAGAAGGGAATGGGTCCTACTTAGGGTGGGACAGACTATGCAGTCTGATTGCTCTAGATGGATGATAACCCTCAGGGAAAATAACCTCGAAGCAGCTTGCATTGACTCCAAGTGTCCAGTCTTACCAGTGTAGCAAGCAGCTTCTTAGGTTTGCCATTATTTTGGGGAGACACAACCTAGGGAAAAACCCTTTCGCATCCCACAATTTGGTAAATTTAATCTATCCTTTATCTGGTAGTTAGACCTATTCAAAGAATGAATTTGATTTTTAAACTAGTAATCAAGAAGTATCTTTTAAAAACTCTGCCAGTTATGAACATATGTGTTAGATTCAAAATCAAAATACCAAACTCACTGCCAAAAAGTCAATGTGCACGCTACAGTGTCGTCACCCAGCTTAGCTAGAAGAACTCCATTTTGTTAAAATTGCTATCCTGTATAACCTCAGCCTTCCATTCCCAGCCCTACCAGATAGCCTGCTTCATCCACAAACACCCATGCCACATAAGCCCCTCCCAACCACCTGAGGAACCTTGACACACCCTGAGGACATCCCTCTTTCCCCTCAGGGTCACATGTCTGCCCTGTAAACCAGGAATGTAGTAAATCTGAACAGACCCTGAGTCATCTCCAGGAGTCCCTTCCTGACCCTGTCCCAATACCCTGCCTGATAATCAAAGAATATAACTACCTGTCTACTGTATAAAGCCTGTCTCCTGCCCTTGATGAGGATTTTTTCCTAGGTGTTAGCCTTCTCTCTTGGCCCAGCTAGCTGTCTTAAAAGGCTGTCTGTAATTTTAATAAAGTGGTGTGGTTTGAGCTCCCTCCACTGTTTTAATAGGCACAGTAGAGCTGCCCTTGTGACTTTCCCAGATTTCTGCTCTGCATGGGACTAGAAAGTCTTTCTCCCATTGAGCTGCTTGCAGTTTCTCACTGCATCCCTTTGAATTAGCAACCAGGTGCAAGACCACTAGACCACCAGGTCAGGTCCCAGTATAGATCAGAAACATTTTTTAAAGTGAAACTTTTATTCTGTAGGGAAAAAATTATTTCATTTTGAAATAAAACTTGTGGTAATGAAATGATGACACACCTGAAAATTTGTTTATTGGATATTAAAGTACTTAGAATAGAGTTTTTACTTCTCCCTGGGAAGTCCTTGTATAGTTGTGTGTGTTGATTTAAGAAGTTTAAAAACTTTTTTTTAAAAACATTTTATTAGGGGCTCATACAACTGTTATCGCAATCCATACACACATCAATTGTGTAAAGCACATTTGTACATCATTCTCAAAACATTTTCTCTCCACTTAAACCCCCGACATTAGGTCCTCATTTTTCCCCTCCCTCCCCGCTCCCCCCTCCCTCATGAGCCCTTGATAGTTTATAAATTGGTATTTTGTCATATCTTGCAAGTTTAAAAACATTTAATTATTTCTTGTTTTCTACCCCAAAGGAAAGCTCATTTTCACTCAAATCTATTGTTGTAGCTACTGTCCATTCCCAGAAACTAAACAACCCAGACCGCCGACAACTTCAAAAGAAAAAGTTTTATTACCTGTGCAGGGACCCTCAGCTCTCTTTGAGGGGAGACTGAGCGGTCGCCTGTCTAATTTTCCAGTTTTTTTATACTTTTGCAACGTGCAGGTATGCAAGCAAGCAGAGTACAGAAGCAGAATATTGCGGCTAGCCCTTCTTAGTTGAACAATCACTGCTCTTAGTTCTTCCAAGCCTTCTGAACATACATTTCCTTTGGTACAATCTGTTGAGCTTCTCAGCACAGCCTCCCTCCCTACTATCAGCTAGTTTATTTATAGTTTATAGCTAGTTCATTTATAGTTCATAATGGCTTCTGTCAGCTCAGAATGGCTTCACTCTTGTCAGGGCTGTTTAAGCTTTTCCTGGAGCTACTACATTCCCTCCTGTTCTTAGCCAAGTTCAAATTACTGAATTTGCTTTCGCCAGCCGGGTGTATGGTGGGCTTAGCATCAAGAGTTTTATGGCTTGTACTTTTTGTGTAACAAATGCCACTAGCTTATTGATTATTATTGGTCCAAATGTAAGGCTTAACCGGAGGAGGACTAGGGGCCTGGCTAGGGCTGTTACTAGGGTAGTTAGTCAGGGTGACCAATTAAATAGCTTTTTTAACCAATTCTTTTTTTTTTCTTTTTCCTTTAATTTTTTCCTAACCAGGGCTCAACTATTTTTAATGATTTCTGAATGGTTTGCATAAAAACAACAAGTTCCTTCTAACGCCATGCACAGCCCTCCTTGTTTCAAAAAGAGCAAGTCATGCCCTCGGCGGTTTTGCAACACAACTTTTGCAAGGGAGTCTAAGGAGTTTTCTAAATGGGAAACTGATTTTTTAATCCTTGCAAATCCAAATCAATTTGCTAACTAAGAGTCTGATAGTTTAAGTTTCCTTGTATTAAAGCAGCTGACCCTACTGTGGCTGACCCAGCAATCCCGAGCCCTGCTAACAGTGGGACCGAAATTGGGGCTCTTTTAACTCGTTTAGAAATTCCAAAGTGATCCCTACCTCCTTCACCAGAATACAGGTACACTTGAGGAATAACATGCAGGAGCACACAAATACCTGAGTCAGCTCTGAATACTGGGAAAAGAGAGGGCTTTAGTCCTGTGGAACAAGCAAATCAGTACCCATCTTAGCAGATAACAAATAAGGATTAGCATTTGGTTCAATGGGAACAGCTTGAAGGCAAAAATCTCGATACCTTGACATATTTAAGGGATAATTAGATGATTATAAACACAGTCCTTGCCCTTGCAAAATTCTTAAAGTGAGCTTAGAATTGAGCCCATTCTGACCCCCACCTACAGACTGACTGCTGATTAGTGTAATCCTTTATGCTAACATTTTTAATTTGATTACAGTCTGTATCAATAGTGCTGTTTGTACCTATACCTACATAGTAAGGGGGAGCAGGGTTTAGACAAAGCTAACAATCGGCTGTGAGGTTAGGATTTGTTGAGGTCATGAATTGGAATACAGCATCCAGAGTATTAAACACAGAACCTTGAGGTGGCTCCTGAATGGGAAGGGCTTTTTGAGTTGGGTTGGCGGTAAACAGGAAAGTCACTGAAGAGTCTGGAGGGTGCGGCAAAGGGATCTTAGTGACACGCTGCTGTGGCTTTTCAGGATTTATCACTAGGTTTGGGCCTAATGGGACAGGAGGTTGCCACATTTTACTTTTTTTGGATAGTAAAGGCTGTCCTGGAATCTTTACCGTTTATATAAGGTTGAATTTTTCCACGTTTTCTCAGTGAACCACTTTTGCTCTTAATAACGCTTGAATCCAATTTTTATTGGGTTACATTTGGAAACTGTACAAGTGGTGGGATTAAACCCCTCAGACTTTAGTTTCATTTAAAAAAAATAATATCAGGGTTTTTTTTTTAACAAGTTTCCACTCTTTAGATGATACAGTTTTACAACCCCACAATGGTAATGTCCCTCCCCTTGGCAGTTAGGGGGTTCATTAGCTGGGCATATATAGAAATGGTAATTTCTAAGCTGTTTTTTAAAATTTAGATTCGAGCATCCCCTTGGGGTGTAGGAGTTACTATATCTATGTCCGCCAATGATCTTTACATGCAACTCAGGTCCAAACAAATCACACAAATCGAAGTGGAAAACAGGGGTTCAGATCCAGTGGAAGAGGTTACATTTTTCCCGCTGGAGGGTCGAGTAACAGTCCACAGATGTGTTTGTGGTTGATGGGGGAAACGGCGGGTGCTGTCAGCAATATTCAGACAGACAAAAATAATTAAGTTCTGCAAAGTCTTAATTTTAAGGGGTTTTCCATCTCTCTGAGTGTCCATCTTTTCGGGATATGCTCAGGGAGGGCTTTCTTTACTTGTGACTGATGAATCCACGGCCTTTCCCCGCTACTTTAACAGCAGTTGGTGTTGTATCACCTGGTATGGGCCAGTCCACCTTGGTTCTAAGGTGTTGGGCTGCCTCTTTACCTTTTTCTTGGTTGGGCCCAGATGATTTATCTTTCTCTCCTGCTGCACAGCCTGCAGGGACTTAATGAGGGAATGATTAGTGACTTTTATTATTTTTACCTCCTTCAATCTTGGAAAGATTGTGAGAGGTTTACCAAACATAAATTCAAACGGGGTAATGCTTTTTGCATAGGGAGTGCATCAGATTTGAAGTAGGGCAAAAGGTAAAGAAAAGATTGGTGACCAGATGTCCCGCTTTTGGCGGGACAGGCCCGATTTTTGGCGTTTTAAAGAAGTCCCAATTTTTGGAAAGAATGCACGGCAAGTGAGGGAACGGACTATTTGGTCCATATAGACCACATTTTTAATCAAGAACCTCCCCCACCTCGGTCAATGGTGTTCCCGCTTTAAATCTGGTCACCTTAAACCCAGCTTTCGCCAGTTTCTAAATACAATTTAACTAAGAATTCCTTTAGGGTTCTGTTCATTCTCTTTACTTGCCCTGAACTTTGGGGCTTATAACCACAGTGAAGCTTCCACTTAATATTTAGAAGTGTTGCTAATACGTTAGTAATTTGAGCAATGAATGCTGGGCCATTGTCAGACCCCAAGGTGGTGGGAAGGCCAAACCTAGGGACAATTTTAGTTACTAATAATTTACACACAGTGGCAGAGGTTTCCTTTTTTGTTGGGAAGGCTTCCACCCATCCAGAATAGGTGTCCACGAACACCAGCAAATCCCGGTAGCCACACCTTTCAGGTCTGATTTCCGTAAAGTCCACCTCCCAGGATTCTCCAGGACTACTCCCTCGAGCTCGTGGTTGGGGTTGCTCCTTTTCTTTTCTAGGGTTGTTTACCCGAGCACAGTGCAAGCCACGGTGGGTGACACCTGCCAACCAGTGTCCAAGCCTGAGTATGTAAAAGTACCTGCGGAGCAACTGAGACAATATAGAGGATCCCAAGTGCATACCTTCATGTAGTCCTTGAATCAGATCTCTCCCCAGTGCTTCTGGCATGAATCTTCTTCCATGGGGTGGAGCAGCCACCCTGGATGCTCCGAGTGTTCCTAGCAGCCCAGCTCTTGGCTTACCTTTAGCTCATTCTCCGAGTATGCAGGCTATGGCGGTAACACTGGGATGGCATGGTCACAGCCACTACCTTAGGGGGATTGGTTGTATAATCCTGGCGTTTGAGATCCAACAGTCTGGGGGACTTCTTAGGAGGGTTTCAACCATATGTCCCCCTACCACAGCAATATCCTGTCCCAGTGTAAGCTTTTTAGCTTTTTTTTTAAACTAGGATGGTGGTGGTAGCCACAGCTCGCATGCAGCTCGGCCATCTTGCAGCTACTGAGTCCAATGTCTTTGAAAGATAGGCCACAGGTCACTTCCATGGCCCCAAGTTCTGAGTTAGCACTCCCTTTGCTATGCCTCCAGCCTCACGTATGATCAATTGGAAAGGCTTTTCTATGTCTGGAAGGGCAAGAGTGGTGCCGATATGAGCGCCTTTTTAAGGATTTAAAAGCTTGCTGTTTTACCTTAGTCCGTTTAAGTTTGTTTGCTTTTCCCCCAGTACTTGCATATAGGGGTTTTTGGCTATTTCCGCAAATCCCAAAATCCACAATCGACAGTACCCCACAGCTCCCAGGAACTTTTGCACCTGCCTTTTAGTCTTGGGTACTGGGGTTTTGAGGATTGCCTCAATGCGGCTGTGGGACAAGGTTCTTTTTCCCTCCTCCAGTTGGTAGCCTAGGTATACAGCTTTACTGATGCACAGTTGGGCCTTTCTTGCAGATGCCCTGTACCCCAATTTACCGAGGACTGTCAACAGGTCCTCAGTAGCCCTTTTGCATTCCTCCAGGGTTTAAGAGGCTAGGAGGAGATCATTTGCATACTGGAGCAAGGTTGTTTTGGGGATGTTCCTCCTTGTATTCCTGTAAGTCTCTACTAGTTTGACTTACAGGGGACAAGGGTATGGAGAAGAAAGTATCCTTTTAAGTTTAAAACAGTATAGCAAATTCGGTTTGATGGAATAGTACTCAGGAGGGTATAAGGGTTTGGAACGGTGGGGGTGAGCAGTTTATACCTTCACATTTACTTCTCCGAAATCCTGCACCAGTCAGAAGTCCTTAGTTCCTTAGTTCCGGGCTTCTGCACGGGCAGCAGGGGAGTATTCCATGCAGACTTGCAGGGCACCAAAATGCCTGTTCTTTTTAGTCTGTGTATGTGAACAGCAATACCCACCTTTGCTTTCCATGGAATAGGGTGTTGCTTAACTTCTACCGGTATAGCTGAGCTCAGAAGTTGTACTACCACAGGCGCCTGATGTTTGGCAAGGCCTGGCAGGTTGTTCTTTGCCCAAACAAACAAAAGGAATATTTTTTTTAGCCATTTATCAAGAAGTTTCTTTGATGAGGAGGTCTCTTCTGCTCCTTGATAAAACACATATTCCTCTGACAACAGAACGGCAAGCAAAACCTGGGCATTTTCGGGTTCAAGGGTTAAAGTGGTCTTAGTTGGCAAGAAAGTAATTGTGGGCCCCAGTTTCCCTAATAAGTCCCGACCTATTAGGGGATAGGGGCACTCAGCATTACCAGGAAGGAGTGTGTAACTGTCCCTTGTGCTAAATCTGTTATTTTAGCCGTTGTCCATGGGTATGCTTGGGTTTCCCTGTGGCCCCTGTGTCCACCAATAAATTTACTGGCTGGCCCCTTACTTGGAGAGTTAGCCTGGGCTCCTGGGGCCAAGTGAAACAGAGCTCTGACCCCTTCATTCAGCGTCTTCGGACATTATTGTCTCTCACTTGGGTTTTTCTAGGGGAGGATGAGGCCCATCCTCTCTAGTGATGGGTTGTCCGCCTCTCCTGGGATTTTCGGGGCACTGAGTTTTCCAATGTCCTTCTTTTTTGTAGCAGGCATATTGATCCTTCCCCAGGGGTCGGCGGTGTCCATGGGTCGGCCTCTGCATGAGTGGGCCACGATTTCCCTTTCCTGAGCCTCTGGGGTCTCCCATGGCAGTTACTAAAATTTTAGCTAGTTTCTTTGCCTCTGGGGTCATCTCTGTTGTTACACACTCGCTGAGCCACTTTTACTAAGATTTTTTTTTTAACCCTTTTAACTTTTGCAATTTTTTAAAATGTTTGGAGCTGACTGGGTAACTAAGGCAATATTTATTGCCCTCCTGTTCCAGAGGGCCTCCGGGTCTATAGGGGTATAAAGCCTGTAGGCTTCTATCAGCTGCTCTAAAAAGGCAGCCGGAGATTCTCCTGTAAGAGCCTGTAAAGTCTCACGGACCTTGGACCTTAGATAAATTCGTAGGTTTCCTGGCCGCTCCCCGGGGAGGCCCTGCAAAAGAAACAAACTGGCAATACCTGGTCAGGGCTTCCCACATCGGTCTGCAGTGGGCAAAAGAGTTTCTCTCAAGTGGGGAGTGCCCGCTGCCTGCCCATCAGGTCCAATGACTGCCTTCTGGGCCTTTCTCTGGATGCGCTCCTTTCCTCCGATGTGAATGGGACTTGGAGAAGTTGCTGGCAATCGTCCCAGGTGGGCTGATGAGCGTGGAAAACAGTTTCTATCAAAGAAATCAGACCTTGGAGTTTGTCAGAAAAGGAGGGATTTTGTTGCTTCGAATTATACAAATCACTGGAGGAAAGGGGGACATAGACCAAGAAAGGGACTCGGGGTTCTTCCCCAGGTGTTGGGGCTGCTTGTCTTACGGGGAGAATGGCTGCCACCCAGTGATCCTTCAGGCGGGGGGTGGAGGTGGGGTGTTGGTAAGAAGTGCCAGCCCTAGTGTGAGCAGCACCTAAGGGTCGGAAGCGGGCTCCTCTCCCACCATGGAGTCCTCCTGCAAAATGGGATAAAGCTGGCGGGCAGGGGAGGGGCGGGCTCCGCCGCCTTGGTTTGAGGGACTTGGACCAGTTTTTTTTCTTGCATTTCCTGAAGTCTTGGAAACAAGAACGCTCTCTGTTGGGGGAGAAAGAAAATGTTTTGTATATACTGGCTTATCAGTGGCAATGTCAATCCACACATGCATATAAGGGGTCTATCGGGATGTCCCGGTTCCCCATAAACATAACTGTGAACTCTGAGCAGTAAGGGAAGGGAAAACAAGCCTTGCAGGGGCCAATCAGGACCTCCTTCTGCCCAATCACATAAATTACATGAATTATATAAATTGGGGAGTCTCCAGTCTTTAGGGTTAAAGCCATATGCTCTTCGTGAGCGCCTAGAGAAATCAGAGAAGTTAGCAAAAGACATTCAAGTGATGTCCAAGTGGTGTCGAAGGCTTCTGTCCCATTTTGGAACTCCCTGGATTCCGTCTGCCTCTGAGGACCCTTTAAAAGGACAAAATGAACACTTGAAGT